TATAGTATAATATATTTAAAAACGATAATATTTTAATTATATGATAAAATATAACATCATAGATTGAAATCATTTTATATTCATTTTTTATAACATAATTGATGTTAATTATCCATTTGGTATCAAATTATCTAATTTAATTATCAAATTATTAATTACTCTAATATAAAATTAAAATCTTTTTAAATTAAATATCTTTTTTCTAAATTTTAACATATTTTTTGCAAAAAATTTTATAATTTTTATGTTAGTTCTTATAAACTGATTGAAGATTAATTATCATAATTAATACTTTCTTTTTGATATTTACAATATTTTTATTCCTCAATATATGTAAAATTAGATATTTATTACATTAATTGAAATTATTATTTGGATCATTATTATATTAATTGAAAATTTGTTTTATTAATTGAAAATTTGTTTTATTAATTGAAAATTATTATTGATCGCTTTTTGTTGATCGCGTTTTGATCAAATAAAAGTTCATATTTTTTTTTAAATAAAATATATGATAGAAAGTATAAAAAGATTAGAGTTTTCTTTATTAATGTATTAATGTATTAATTCTTTATTCTTATTTTCATTAATTTAAATTAATGAAAATATAAAATGCATATATATGTTATATATTTAAAAAATTTTTAATATAATATATTTTAATTCAATATATTATAATATATATAAATATGTTAATTATTACATTTAAAAATATACATTATAATTTAAAAAAAATATATTTTAAAAGTAATGAAATTTAATGAATATATTGAAAAAAAACTACATTAAATCAAATGTATATAATATATTTAATATATTATATTATAATATATATTATATATATATATTATATTTATAAATTTATGCAACATAAAATTATTTTATTAAAATAAAGAGAATAAAGTAAAATTGAAGAAAAAAAAAATCATTCGAAAACATTAAGATAGTATATTTGTTTATAATCTGTTGTAAATTATATTTTTGTAACATCGCTTAATTTTTTATTTGCTCAACTTGAAAGGAATTCGATAATTTCAATCTTTGTAATGCGAAACTGTTAAGAATTATTTTACTTGTGTTTAAGGAATCTTTCATTTTATATTTACGATTACTATACGAAGTAGATATAATACTTAAACATTTAACTAGATTAACAACGCTTTATTTATAGCGCAATTTGATTCGAGACGCGCTTAAAATATCTAAGTACAAGCATTTAGAAGATTGTACATTTCAAATTAACATTCGACGTAAACGTATACGAATCTATAGAACATCTTTTCTAATAATAACATATATTTTCTTATTCGATATAATTTTGAAACAATTTAATTTTCATAAAATTATAAATTTCCAAAATGTGCATGTGCTATACAAATATTTATATAGTGTATATGTTTGCACAGAGTATTTCATAAGATATGATATATTTAGACAATATAACTTTTACTTTTAATAAATAAATCAATCATTAATATGTTTTATATACTATTGAACTTTTAATTAAAAGCTTAAAAAATAGATATAACTATTGTAATATTAAGCTTTCTTAGTGTTAAAGTTTCATCTTATATGTTTATGTTTAATATCATTACAATATAAAAATCAATTGCGCTTTGATTTAAGATGACATTATGTATCTTTGGTATGAAATCACAAGAAAGATTATTAAATATTAATATCAATTTCTGAAAATATATACTTTCTAATATAAATATAGATAAAGATAGATAATTAAAGCAAATTAACAAAAAATATCTTGATTATATTCAGATCAAATTTATAATGGATTAGAATTTTATCTAACAAATAATATGGAAAAGGATGACAGTATATATAATTATATAATTTATGAAAATATTAATTAATTTTACTATATAAATATATTTTTATTTGCTAATTATTAGAAAATTAATAATCAATAATTGTATGAAAACATGATAAATTTTTAGCTAATTTTTAATTCAAATTATATTTATCCGAATGTAATATACCATATGAAATACCCTGTATACCGTATTCCGTAAGTTTTACGTCAATTACTAAGAGAAGATTCGGCACTTTCAAATTTGTGCTCTTTAAAAAATAAAATAAAATTTTTATGCACTTTCAAATTCGTGCTTTTTAAGAAAATAAAACAAAAACTTTATGCAATTCGTCTTTTTTTGAATACCAACAAAATCATTTTCAAACATAATGCATATTTTAATAAAAATTTCTTAGAATTTTCCATTAACTATTTTGACAACTTACGAAAAACAATTTGCATGTAATATATTTATATATTATATACAAACGAATTATCTAGTTTGTATAGATATTCTATTGCTGCGATCAACTATTATATATATATATTAAATGTATGTATTTTTCATATTCGTAGCTATTATTGAACAGAAAAATCGGACACTTATTATTATTACCGATCGCTTTTTTTTTTTTTTTTTTTTTTTTTTTTTTTTAATACTAATTACTAATAAAGTGTCTCCCTGTGTCTTTATACACTTCGGGAAAAAATAACGTGTGGTCTCATTTTGTACTTTAATAAGTGGTAGATAGTAGAATCATTGGTGTTTCATTTTAAGAACTCTAGAAATGACCGTTCGGTTGCTCGAGCTTCCCGAGACGAGAGGAAGCTTTAATGCACCGGTTGCATGCTGGTCCAGAACATCTTTGTATTATCAATCCCTTGCAATTTTTTCTTCGACATCTACAATATATTTTTTTAAATATCTGCATATCTTCAATTAATTTAAGTAAGTAGCATTTCTTTCCTTTTTTATTATATTAATAGGAAACAATTCTCAATTAAAATCCATTATTTAAATTTATTAAACATTAACAATATAAAAATATATGTATGTTTCATTAATAATGATCAAATGCAAGGGATTGCAATTACAATATTCAAGAGGTGAGTTCCTGACCCTCCCGAAATTTTATTCAAACAAACACAATTTTTACGATCGCGATCGCGCAAACGTACATATACTCTACCGTTTTCTCAAACAAAATACAATCACACTCAAAGAATAAATATAAAAAGGAATACAAGTTTTTCATTCATGATACTGTTTGAAGGATTTTGCATTGAACTAAAATTCTATTCTAGTCTCAAATTGCATTTTCCTTTTACTATCTGATAACATGGAACATTCATGGTTATTTTTATAAATATATTCCTTCCGAAATAATATATCTTTATGCACGTAGAAAAGTTCTGTATTTATTTACACAGGTATTTTGAACATTCATTGCCATTTCAACGGAACTTCTTCATTGAGGATTTAACTTATCAGTGCCCATAATGTATTTTTATTAATCATACATTTTTTTTCCATTCGATTAATGCTTCTTTTTATCGCATCATAAGATAATATTTTCATTTCATTTCATTCATATTTGTTTTATTGGCATAAATAAATTTAAGTGAAACCTAGTATTTGTCGGAAAATACTGTTTCTTCCACTAAATATTAGCAAAAAATTAACTCATTTAATTAGATTTCCCTGATAAACTATTTAATCATTTTATTCTAGTAACATGAGATTATATTAAATTTGTTCAGAAATAGAAACAGATTTTTTTATGATATAAAAATATTTGGTTGCAAAGGAATAAAAATATTCATGAATATTCAATTATTGCCATAAAACTATGAATTACAAAAACAGTGTAAAAGTTTAAACAATTCTACTTGCAAAAATCGTTGTTCATATAAAAGTAACTCTGATATATTAAAAGCATCCATTCGTTTTATTATTTTTTTTTATATTATCACAAATTTATAATTAATCGTTGTATTAAACGTAAATAGAACAAAATTACCAAAATACTTTGCTAATAATCAAATATATCTACTAACAGATTGCGCTTATTGATTCCAGTGAGTACATTAACGTGAAGTGGACGGCATTGGATTAAACTGATTCGACATGTTGCAGCAATAACACGGAGCCAAAATATTTGTGTTTCTAAATTGAAAACATACAGTTTGAAATTATAAAAATATATGATTTTTTATATAAATATATTCACTATATAAATGCTTTTTTATTCAAAAATATGATCAAAAACTTCTGACATTTATCATATAAGATTATCTTGAATGTATTTATAATTAATATTTTATAATTAAAAGAATTGAAACAATTTCTTTTTAAAACAATTGAATTTAAAAAAAATACTATAAATAAAAAACCATATGATATGTTAAATAATAAATTTATAATAACAAATAATATACAAGTAATACAAAAGTTAACACAAGAAAAAAAATAAAATAAAATATTATGTTGAACATTATTGACATTAAAGAAAAACAAAAATGTATTATCTATGAGTATTTGATTTAAATAAAAAAAATATAAAATATATTTTAAATAATTTCATATTATAAATAATTTTTACAAAAATATCAATAAAGAATTGCAATTAATTTAAAATAATAAAAATTTTATTTAAAAAAAAATTAATATTTTGTTAATAAAAATTATCAATTTAAATTTTAAATTTTAAATGTATATTACTATATAATATAATTTAATAATAATATTCCATATTGTATTAAATAATAGGAAAACAATAG